TAGCAAGGCGAGGGCCCTGTCGCCCCTCTGAGCTGGGGCCCGTGTCCTCCGGCGTGCCGTGCCCCTCAGCACAGCCACCCGCTCCATCTGCATCCAGCTCGGCTCTGCAGGGGACAGTGCCTCCCGCCTTGCTGCCATGCTGTGACACTCCCGGGACGCTCTAAGCCCATGGGAAGAAAATCCTACTCCAGAGTTTGCATGCATTCAGGTGAACCCAGAGGCTTTCTTTTAGCCGGAGGCACTGTGTGGACGTGGGCCTGGCATCGTGTCCTCTCCCTTTCTCCTTAGGCTCCTGAGGATCTGGGCGTTGGAGCTGCGGTCTCCGGTGGCGTTTGCTCCCATGACCAACGGCCTGTGCTGCATGTACTTCCCACAGGGCGGTTTCATTGCCACAGGGTGCGTAACATGGGAGAGAAGAGCAGAAAACCATGGGCTGCTCCCTCCTCCTGCAGCCCTGGGTCTGCTCAGCAAGTTCTGGGTTTCCCTGGGCGGGGACAGGCTGGTTTCCCGGTTTGGGGAACGCGTAGTTGCTGTAAGCTCGGGATATTTGGGGGGTAGCTGAGCTTTCTCGAGTCTCTCTGCCTTGTGCTCATGGCTTGTTTGGGTCCCGTTGCAGCACCAGAGATGGCCACGTCCAATTCTGGACCGCTCCGAGGGTCCTCTCGTCGCTAAAGCACTTGTGTCGCAAAGCTCTGCGCACTTTCCTGACGACGTACCAGGTCCTCGCGCTCCCCATTCCCAAGAAGCTGAAGGAATTCCTCACTTACCGGACCTTTTAAGGCAGTGCGGAAAGCGGAGGCACGGAGGCGAGAGCCCTCTGCCCGGCCGCGGAGCTCGGCCTGGCTCAGAGGAGGCACCGCAGCGAGGACGTCTCGCCGATTCGTGAGCCGTGGGGCAGGAGGATTACTACTCCCCTTGTTTTGGGGCTGTGTCTGTGAATGTGGAGGGATTTTTCGGTGTAATAATACTAGAACCCAGCAGAAATGCATGCAGAGGACAAGGGGCACAGCTGCGGTGGCCCCGCAGGGGACACACCGCCTCGTCCCCCTGCCATCTGCACGTTTTGGGTCAGGTGCTTTTGCTTCCAAGTGCAATGTTGTGGGTTGAAGGTTAGCAGCCGCAGTCTGAGCGGAGTTTTTGTCGTTCGTACGAATACGGGGCTACAGCCATCCCCGACAAAACCAACCCTCGCTGGGACCGGCTCCTACTGTAGCTTTAGTTCCCAGAGGGGCGCAGGTTCTGCCGCGCTCCTGGTCTGGGCACGAGCCGGACAAAGCCGAGCAGGTCGCTGCGGACTAGATGCCAGCGATGACAGAATAAAAAAAATTATTCCTCATGGCTTCCCTCTTGGCTCATAGAGGCGACCTCGGGATACCTGGCAGGGCAGGATACCTCCTGCCGGGGCGGCAGCGAGTGCTCGCTTGGCTCTGAAGTGCGGCGGACCAGGGAGGTTTTGCAGGCAGGCGAGAGCAGCTGGACTTGGGCCTTTGCAAGGGGATGGGGGCTCGACCACCTCCCCTCGGTCCTCGCTGTACAGGAGGGAAAAGAAAAGAAAAGTGCAACCTGCTGGGCTTTAGAGGCATCTGTATTTCCCAGCCAAACTTAGAAACGACGCTGCCCGACGCTCGTGCTCCGGCTGCGGGCTCGAGGCTTGCGGGAAGGGAAAGCTGGACGGAGCGGCTCCGGGCGCGTTGCTGACGAGCCCTTCCAGCTCCTGTGAGATCCGGCTTTGCAAGCGAGGATCCACCCCAGCAGGACTCAGGCTTCGGCCACGATCAGGTCCCTGGTGACTTGGAAAGCGGCGATGAGGGAGCTCAGCTGAATCTTTTCACTGGTCCCAGCAGCCAGCCGGTACCTGCAGCAGGGGGCAAGGGCAGGTGGGCGCGCTGGCAGCCCCCCGGGCGTTTTGGGGCAAGGGGCGTGGGTGAGCGGCCACTTACTCGATGTCTGCCATTTTGATCAGCAGCTGGATGCGGACCGAGGGTGGGAAATCGACTGTGGAGAGAAGGAGACGGCC